TACCTGTAGATACGTATAGATAATCAGTTAGATTATACAAAATAACTGCAAGATATTAGACCTAGAGTTTTAATATTCAACTTTCTCTATAGAAATGTGATTTGATTAAATAAAGGTACTGGTGCAATCTACCTAAGTAAAACAAAAAAAATTATATATATTTTATATTTATATTTTAATAATATCTAATATTTTATACTAATATTTTAGATGATTGATATTTTTATACCTTTTTTTGATATTTCTATACTCTATATAGATCATATTTTTATAACTTTAATCAAAAGTATTTTAATAACTATCTAACCAAATTTGATAATTTTATTAGAATTCTATAAGTTTATAGAATTTAAAAAAAAAATTATTAGGATTGATCAAGTATTATCAAGATATCTTTAATAAAAGTTATAAAAAATTTTGTTATAGCTATTATTTTGATAGATATTTAATTTTTTTAAAACTTTGATTAAAAATATTTTTACAACTACTTGATTAAATTTAATAAATTTTTTTATTAGAATTTTATAAGTTTATAAAATTTAAATAAAATTTATCAAATTTAGTTAGATGGTTATTAAGATACTTTCAATTAGAGTTAGAGAAAATTTTGTTATAATTATTATTTTAAAATAGATATTTGAATTTTTTAAAACTAAGGTATCTTGATAACTACCTGACTAAGGGTGCTCTCAAGCATCTCTCTCAGTGTAATTAGCTAACTATAGAGATCATGCACAAGTACTATGATCAATTGAAATAAACCTTATGGTAATTTTGTCAAAGGTTCATATTGCGAAATGTGGATATTAAATTTTAGCCAATCAGCACAACTCTATGATAAAAAAAGATGGTCTCTAACATCTTTTTTTTTCATCATGATAATGAACTCGCTTGACCGAATAATTTATTTTCCACTAATTAAAAATTAAACTCAGACCTATTGATTTAGATGCTTGAGAGCACCCTAAATTTGATGAATTTTTTTTATTTAAATTTTATAAATCTGTGTAAAATTCAAATAAAAAAACTTTATTGAAATTGTTGGGTAGTTATTAAGATACTTTCAATTAAAATTAGAAAAAATTTTGTTGCAACTATTATTTTAATAAATATTTAGATTTTTTAAACCTTTGATTAAAGGTATCTTGACAACTATTTGTCCAAATTCAATAAATTTTTATTTATTAAAATTTTACAAGTCTGTAGAATTTAAATAAAAAAATTTATTAAATTTGGTCAGGTAGCTATTAAGATATCTTTGATCAAAGTTTTAAAAAAAACTTCTAACTATCTATTAATATAATAGCTATAGTAAAATTTTCTCTAACTTTGATTAAAGGTATCTCAATAAGTAATTATCAAGACATCTTTGCTTTAAGTTAAAAAAATTAAACAATTATCAAAACAAAAACTGTGTCTAGGTTCTTTTTAAACTTTGAGCAATAATATCTTGATATCTATCTATTTAATTTCAATGAAGTTTTTTTTATTTTCAATTTTATAAATTTATAGAATTAACAAAATTTATTGATATTAGTAAGTAGTTATCAAAATATCTTTGTTCAAAGTTTTTAAAAAAATTTAAGTGATTATCAAAAAGTTTTTTCCAAACTTTGACTTGACAACTATCTATCTAAAATCCATGGAGTTTTTTTATTTCAATTCTATAGATTCATAGAATTAAAATAAAAAATGACATCAGATGTTAGGAAGATAATTATCAAGGTATCTTTATTTAAAATTCAGATTGCAATTAGGTTTTGAGCAATAATTCAAAATTTTTTATTGGCACAAATGCAAAAAAAAATACAGTCAGACCTCTTTAAGTGCATGCCCTTGGGACCGCACTTTAATAATGTGTATATAGAGAATAATAGAAAACAGTGCATTTATGGAGGTCAAGTATATATTTGGACCAGCACTTGAACATGCATTTAGAGAATCTTTGAGCGGAGATATCTCGATAGCTACCTATCCAAAATCGGCGAAAATGTTTTTATTTTAATTCTGTGGATTCGTAGAATTTAAATAAAAAAATTTATTGATTTAGATAGATAGTTACTGAAATATCTTCACCCACATTTTGAAAAAAAAAATATATAATATTGTTATTAAGGATCGTCGATTTTCGTCCAATCAGAACGTGACCGACACCATGGCGAGGGTACTAGTAAATAAATGCTCTCGCTCTATAATAACATTCCTAATAAATAATTATATTAATTTTATCCAGCCCGTACGTACCAAATATAATTTTTATTTATAGAGCAAATATATATAATTATACATATATTAAAAAAACTCAAATATTATTATAATATCAGGCAGGCTGACACTTCCTGATAACTATTAACTACACGTTTGAAAAACCTCAACAATATATAAATACTTAAATATTTTAATCTACTATTTAGTTTGATTTTTTATCATAGAAATTAAATCATTTTTCAATTAATTATTTGATAGTTTTTTCTTTATAGACTAGTACATCGTAGTTTCCCGTTATATATTTAACTCTGTCGTTATCAATAAAACAACCGTGAGATAAATGCTATAGTTAATTTATCCCGATTATTATATTTATATACTATTTTTTAAACCAAAAGTTACCGGTAGTATTCTATAAAGCTTAGCTTTATTACAGTTACAGTACCTCATTCTGTAACCAACAACTTTTACTTTTCGTTAACAATTCTGCTAGTTTAAAAAACTCGCAATAATCATTAAAGAAATAAAAGGATAATATTTGAAAAAATATATAAATATTCTGGATCAGTCCGAATCTAAAATCCGGACAATAAATGCGAAAAAATGGTGTAGAAATAAGGTGAATAACTATACTTACATTTTCAGTACCAACAATGAAGGGTGTAATATTCGATAATTCAGATGATCGTGAGCTATTAAAAAAAAAAGGTATCTTTAATAAGGCTTTAGAATTAAATCTTGCAATAAAATATTAATATAAAAACTTACATATGAACCCACTCCAAAGCAACAATAACCAATACTTCGTATTCTGATAATAATATTTTTTTATGATCATATTCGACAACCAAACCTTGGTTTTCTTCAACGTATCCAGGGTGTATACCTTGAGTATATATATTATGAAACGTTTTATTATTAAGGTCACCACGTCCGATTGCTTTTCCATTGGCATAGTATGCATGATCGGGAATCTTTCCACCACTAGCTTTTACCCAGATAATGGGCTTAACATATCAATAGTTTGTTATTAAAAATTATTTATTATGATTATGTATTTATTATAATAATGATATATAAATACCAAATGACTTTGTTCAGCTTTAAATAATATCAAATTGTAAAATCAATAAGAATTAGCAAATACATGTAAACAACTCAAATACTTAAATAGTAAGGAAAAATTGCATATATGTTATTTAACTTACAAGCTGTAATTACGAATCAAATTAATAAAGCATATACAGTAACTCAACCAATAAATAAGCAGTAAAAAATTGATTTAAAAATCATTATTTAAGAACTTACGACCTAAAAGAATATATAAAATAGATTAAATAAATGTATAAGAAAATTCAATGTTTAACTGAATCATTGTGAATTGTAAAAATAAATTTACAGAATATTACCACTTGAAGTTGCAGTAGTTGTAATATTAAAACTCTAGGTCTAATATCTTGCAGTTATTTTGTATAATCTAACTGATTATCTATACGTATCTACAGGTA